ATCCCAAACTCCCAATTGATCCCTCTCCTACTCTTTTCCCTTTTAGTAACCATAAGTTTGTGTTCTGTATCTGTGAGTCTATTTCTGTTTTTTAAATAAGTTCATTTGTATCAGGGTTTTTATTTTTAGATTCTACATATTTCTAAGTTCCTTTCAGTTATATAAATCTGTTTCCAAAAAATAATCCCTCAATTTCCCAAGTGGCATAATTCACTGTTTTCTATATTAATGAAGAAGTAATACTCAGAAAACTGTTTTGTCTTTTCATGATGTTACTTGAATGATTTGAATTTTCTGTTTGGAGAAGAACAGACTGAACTTAGGACAGCAAACATGGTGTCTGGGTTTAATTAGGACAGCCAGAAAATGTTCCCTTCTATAAAAGGGCCGAAAAGAATCACTGTGCGTTTGGCTCTTTGTCCTACTGAATGAGGGACTTCCCTGGTGGCTCAAATGGTAAAGAATCTGCCTGCAATGCAGGAGACGCAGGTTCGATCCCTGTGTCAGGAAGATCCCCCGGAGAAGGAGTGGCAACCCACTCTAGTATTCTTGCCTGGAGAATCCCATGGACAGAGGAGCCTGGCAGGATACAATCCATAGGGTCGCCATTGAGTCGGACACAACTTAGCAGCTCAAACAACAACTAATGAATGATCTAGATTTAATGTCGGAAAGCTGTAAGCGGGGCACACTTAGCAGTCAGTTGTTGATAAAAATATTCCCAGATATTGATGGGAGCTTTATAGTTTTTCGACAGAAACAGAATACCTCCTGTTCAGGTCATGCTGTCTTAAAATCATCCTGGAGAGTAACAGCCAAACAGATCTTCCATGCTAGCTTTTACCTTGTGTGTGATGAAACACGGAGCCCCTGAAATATTCCACGGTGACTTACCTGTGTGTTCAGGAGCTGTTTTGCATCTCTGATTGAATAGGATTAGATAAGAATGCTGCATTGGGTGAAAACTGACTTCAGACATTTACAGGGGTCTTCAGTGGCCAGGGCAAGACTTGGTGAAATTCCTTCAAAATTCCTCAGAGGACTCAGAATGGATGGACTTGAGAGTACTCCTCACCTATAGATCTTTTATTTTATCCTCATATACAAGTGTATCCAGAACCATGCAATCAAAGGTAGTTACCAAAGGTCTGTCTAGTCAAGGCTGTGTTTTTTCCAGTAGTCATGTATGGATCTGAGAGTTGGACAGTGAAGAAAGCTGAGGGCCAAAGAATTGATGCTTTTGAACTGTGGTGTTGGAGAAGACTCTTGAGAGTCCCTTGGACTGCAAGAAGATCCAACCAGTCCATCCTAAAGGAGATCAGTCCTGGGTGTTCATTGGAAGGACTGATGTTGAAGCTGAAACTCCAGTACTTTGGCCACCTCATGCAAAGAGTTGACTCATTGGAAAAGACCCTAATGCTGGGAAGGATTGGGGGCAGGAGGAGAAGGGGACGACAGAGGATGAGATGGCTGGATGGCATCACTGACTCGATGGACATGGGTTTGGGTAGACTTCGGGAGTTGGTGATGGACAGGGAGGCCTGGCGTGCTGCACTTCATGGGGTCGCAAAGAGTCAGACACGAGTGAGTGACTGAACTGAACTGAACTGAACCCACTAAGTAGGGAAATATTTGATGGATGTGTATTACATCTTTATATCTGCTGGTAGACATTTAGGTGTTTGTCAGAGTGTGACAGGGAAATGAAATTCATAGTAGTAATCTCTGGAGATTTATGATATAGAGTTAGAAACACTAAATTATGCATTGTCTTCTGCAAAGTTCTTAATAGTCAGACCTTCACACCCTTCCTCCCCTTTTCTTAGTACAGTCTTAAACTTTTATTAAAAAGCCTGTTATATACAGCATTTGAAAACTATAGAACTGAATCAAGGAAATAATTATTTCTTCCAGACACAGTTAAAGCCAGTAACAGAGTTACTCTGAGTTCTGGTAGGTAGGGCACTACTTTTAGATGCTGCACAATCCCTGTGCTTCATTAAAGTATAGTGAGGAAAAACACCGAGAAACAGGACAATAAAGTCTAAATTTAAATCGTATCTCTGAGATTTTTTGACATTTTGTTTCTGCAAGTATGAATGCTGAAATAAAGAACACTTTTTGTTTTCCTAATTTTCATATATGTTTCACTAGATTTGGACCTTAACATTGTGTTCTTAGCTGATTTGAATTTTCCTTTATTTCATTTATTCCACTGTCATTAAAAATGGCAGCAAAAAAGGGGTGGGTGAGATTAAAGCATATTATGTATTTTGTATCCCTTTTAGTGAGATGAAGGTTTTATTTTATGCGACCTGTGAAAATTCTATGTTGGAACTGTGCATGGGTATACTAAGTGTATATCCCTTCATTTCCTGCTTTTGTTTTGTTTTTGTTCTCCAGTTGGGTGTGACAACTGAGAGAAACAAAGGAATAGACACCTGTTCTGCACCCCCACCCCCCACCCTGGAGCAACAGGTGCCTTTTGTTCTCTATGGTCTCAATTCAGCCAGTGATTTGTCACATCATGTGTGTCTTATCCTTTTGTTTAAAGGTTATTTATTGAAGAGGCTCCCATTGTACGCAGTATAACAACATGATGTGTTCTAGAACTAGATTGAAAAACAGTCTGTAATTAGCTGACAGTAATTAACACTTTCAGGATACCACTTTGATTTTGTAATCATCTGCTGGTAAAATGAGCTAAATTATCTTCTGAAATTTACCCAGAATGTTTTTGGTTTTTTTTTCACCAGTGCACACTTGCATGCTTTCTCTGTAAGCAGGGGCTGAATCAGTTTGAGAACTCAGAAGGTACCAGCAAACTTTCTACCAAGAATGACCACTGTTAGTGTTTTTAAACCATGCTCACTGTAGATTTGGCATTGCCACTCCCTTCCCTTTTTTTCTTTAAAGTGTTATTTGCTGCACGTATCATAAGTTCAAGTGGCTTTTTAGGTACTTTTCTATTTTTAAATTGCAAAGCATTTATTTTTCAAATACATTCTAAAATTCAGTGTTAAGTTTCTGAAGCAAAACTGCAGTAAAATATCTTATTATTTACTTCCTAGATGCTAATCTTCCAAAGTTTATGATGACTTTTCAGTGAATATTGAAATTTATTAAATTTCTACTTTACCTCTTTGATCAATGATAAGCATTATTTTGAGTTCTTGAGGCCAAAAAGAATTATGTACAGGCACGCCTTGGATATATTACAGTTCAGTTCCACACCACTGTGGTAAAGCAAGTCAAACAAATTTTTTCGTTTCCTAGTGCATGTAGAAATTATGTTTACATTGTATTGTCTGTTAAGAGTGCAATAGCATTATGTCTAAAAAAACAATGTATGTACCTTAATTTAAAAATACTTCATGGCTTTTTAAAAAGAAACCATCATCTGATCACACAAGGTTGCCACAAGCCTTTCAAATTGTAAAATCCACAGTATCTGTGGAGCCCAATAAAACAAGGTGTGCTGGTCAGTGTATACCATAAGTGATGTATTAGTTGATTAATGTGTAAAAAAAGCTACATTTAAATTATTCATATACAAATAGCTTTGACCTGTGATTTGATAATATTCAGCTGTTATATCCTATACATATTTGTATTGTTTTTATGTTGATATCATCTTCATTTGTCTAAAACAAGTCGTCTTAGTCAGGTGAGCTTATTTACTTCAATTCGTTACTCTCTGATGATTATTTATTTAGTGATAGCTTTGTTAAATTAAGGGAATGTAACATTTAAAAAGGTTGACATATTATTAATATCTAATGAAAGGTAGAGAAATTGTTTTTATCTTAAGGGTCTGTAAAATATACCTGATAGAGTCTTACAACTCATTCTAGGCATTTCTTTGTATCATTCATCCTGATATATTTGACAATCAGAGACAAACTTTAATATTTTTTGAACCTTAATATTGTTTCTGTCTACATTGCATGATGTTTCTCTAGTTAGCATAATTTGAAAATTGAATGGTTTTGTTTAAAAATTGAAATATTAGACCTTTAAAAATTGTTAGTGTCTGATTTTATTTCTCCATTGGCTTCTGATTCAGACCTTGAAGCCAAGGTCCAGCTTCTCATCTTGCTGGGCATTTAGGGCATTATTAATATTTTATTTCATGTTCTATTGTATATTCCTGCCTGGAGTTTTAAAACACAATAGCCTGAAACAATAAGCATTTATTACCTCACAGTTTCTGTGATCATGACTCCCAGTACAGCTTAGCTGGGTGTCTCTGGCTCAGGGTCTCTCACGAAGCTGCAGCTAATGCATCACTCAAGACTGCAGTCATCTCCAAGTTCAGCTTGGGGAGAATTGCCTACAAGCTCATTAATGTGGCCACTGGTGAGCATCAGCCCACAGTTGTTGGCTACAGAAATCTTTGCTGCATGCTCTCAATAGGATAGCTTATGTTATGGCACCTGGCTTCTTTCAGAGCCGAGAGCACAGAGATGAAGCCAGTCTCTTTGTAATGTAGAGTCAGAAGTGATGTTTATCACTTCTGCCATAGTTTATTGCTTAGAGGTGAGTTGCTGGTCTACACAGTCTCAAGGAGAGGTGATTGATCATACAGGGGCATGCATACTGGGAGGTCGGGGATTTTCTTGTTTTGTTTTGCTTTTTAAATTTTTATTGGAGTACAGTTGCTTTATAGGAGGTAGGGATCCTAATGGTTGCCTGCTGCATCTCTTGCAATGAACTTCTAAAATGTCCCACTTTTACTGTGTTGTTACATAGGATTAGGATGATAGAACTTCTGCTTAACTTGCTGTTGTCTTACAATCTTTATATAGAATGAGACTCCAGGAAGTGGTGCAATCAGGAGAAAGATAAAGGCATGTTCTTTTGCAATTTTGCTTATATGGCCTTTTCTAGTTATTTAGATAAGGAACTTTGCTGAAACTCTAAAATACTGTCAAAGTATGCGGTTGGGGATATTTTACCTCTCTTCATTATGTAAATTGTAACCCATTTATCTTGCTCAGTATTGGTAAAGGTTTTCAAGGTGTCATGAAAAGATGGGGATTTAAAGGCCAGCCGGCTACTCATGGTCAAACAAAAACCCACAGGAGGCCTGGAGCTATTTCAACTGGTGTAAGTATAACTTAGTGATCCTCTTTTTAGTGGTGAACATTCAGCTTTTGTGTGTATGGTTCTTTGGTCTGTCTTTGGGATCAAGTCACATAATTTGAATATTATTTCAGGTGGGTCCTAGTAAAAGTCCCACTTCCATGGGTTCTGGCCTTTATTAAATACTTTCCAAAGCCAGATGTGCATTATCTGGTTATATCCTATGTACTCACAGCCAATGTTCTCAGTACTGTCTGCCTACTTTCTTTCCCATCTCTGCCTCCCATGCTATACTCTGAAGTCTGCTAAAGTGATCAGGAATCAGAGTGCTCTTCCATCTGGCCTCACTGGTTCCTTAACAGGTTTGTTTCTGCCTTAAAAGAGACCATTGGTAAAAGTTGTCAAGGACAGTATAATGATAAAGGGGAAAGTAGTAGAGAAAGAAATGAGAAATAGACAATAGGGGCATAGGAAGGAGAGAGGGCGTTTCCTACTACTAATTCAGCCCTAGCGAACACCTCCCAAAGGTATAGCCTAGAGAACCTGCGGGAATGTTACTCTTTGGAGCATCAGAGGATGCAAGGTCAATTCTTCTTATAAGGATGCAGTGTATTCTACTTCTTATAAGAGAGATGCAGTTTAAAAACACTCTTGAGTTAATTTCTCACCTAGCAGATTGTGCTGTCATGCTGTTTAATTTTTTCCACTCTCTTGACAAGGATGTTCTCTCATCCATTGCTGATGGAAATAGAGTGTATTCTTTATGGGGGGAAATGTGGTGATATCTAACAAACTACCCATGTATTTGCTTTTGACACAGCAATCCTACTTCTCAGAATTTACCCTAAAGATATTCTCCCCAAAATATAAAGATGCAGTTGTACAAAATTAGTCATTGTAACATTATTTTTAATTTATAAGCATAAATGTCCATACCTGGGAATTTGGATGAACTCATCTGAACTCCCAGGTATAATGGAATACTATGCCTCTGAAAAACAAACAGCAAGGTCATTGTGAAACAATAACATGATTTCCAGGATATAACAAATGCACACGTTACCTGCTTATTTTTGCAAAAAGAAGGACAAAAAGGAAAAACAGAAACTAATGAGATTGATTACCTACTAATTATGAGTTAGAACAACATTGAAGAGCTCAGTAGTGGCAGGAGTGACACTGAGATGTATTTTTTTATTACACTTTTTACTTTGGAACCATATTAATATTTTACATATTCAAAGTAAAATAAAAACAGGAGTGGAGGGATCCATAGTGGAATATAATTAAAAAATGAACCTATTTCAGATGAGTAACAGACTCTCACTAAAGTGGAAGACTGGAGTGGACTAACTCAAGTAACTTGTGAACACAGTTGTTGGCTGTATACCCAGAAACTAAATTTAAAATGTTCTGTGTGCAAGTATTGAGTTCTAATTATGTTTTTTGAAGTAGTGTTAATTAGCCATTCTGAGATAATTTTCTGTGAACTGTAAGATTGACCAGATGAATAAATATATTGATAATGGAAGCCAAGTTTCTCACTGTTGGAGATGACGGAGTCTGTCCTTCAGTCACTCTACAGAAAGGTAGTAACATCAAAAGCAGGGGTGGGAGAGTAGGGCCATTCCAGCTGCAGTGGATGGATGGAGTCAAGCCAGTTATTACTGCCTGTCCAGGCAGTCCACAGTTTTTCTTTGAATGATAGTGAGATGTGTTTATATGTCCTTCTTAACACCTCGTTTGCTGCTCTCTTGTTACTGAAGTTTTCTCCTAAAGATGTTCTCAGTCTGTGTTTTTATTGTTCTAATCTAATTTAGAAAGGGAATTTTCTAGGGGTGAATGTGACTAAATCCATGTTTAGTTTTTTACTGGGACCTAGCAAAATGTGGGAGAGGGCGTGGAATATTTTTATGACTTATTTCTTGTTTGCATTTTGGTTTGATTGGCACTGTTTGAAATTGAGAGGCACTACTTGAAAAGTGCTAATTTGGATTCCCTTCTTTAGGATGTTGCCAGAGTCTGGCCTGGAACTAAAATGCCTGGACAGTTGGGGAATGTGGATAGGACAGCATTTGGACTAAAAGTAAGTTTCTGGAGTGACTCTTTTCAGGAATAAATTAATGCCTAAATGCAAATGTAACAGTATATGTATTTTAACATGTGTCAGTGTATGGTTTTACAGGTATTGAGGGGTGGGGCTACATGAGCTGTGAGTGTGCATGCGTTGGAGTTGCTATCATATATATTCATTTAACATCCAAGCCATGGAAAATGCACTCATTAAAAAGAAAAAGTTAATTATCTATTATTTGACCTGGAAGATTTCCACAAGGAGTTATGTGAAAAAATATTCAGAACATTATGTGTAATACTCTTATAGTAAACATAAGCTCCCTACATATATGTTCCCACGCCATGTAAACACAGAGTAGATGGTTATATACCAGATTATTTTTGATTAAATGTCAAATGTGTGGGTGGATGTGGGTGAGGAAAAGAGAGGGAGACAATAGAGACAATCAAGTTAGGGGGAAAAGTACTAAAAAAGCATTGTGCTATGCATCCATTGTTGTAAAATAATTATATATTTAAAAGGGGGAGTTAAATTCACTCTCTTTGAACTTGAGGAATATATGTAATATCTAAGTGAAAATGAGTTGTAGATAATAGGTGCCATATAATTATATTTTTGTTAAAACAACTAATCTGTGTATATGTATAAAACACGTAGAAAGTACAAAGAAGAAAATAAGCTATTCAAAAGAACCACCTCCGAAGATAATCATTGGTAACATTTTGGTGCACATTCTTTCATTCTTGTTCTACATATATGTAATTTATAAATTTTAACCAGCAGAAGTTTTTAAAATTTCATATAATTAAGTATAAGATTATTTTTCTTCTTCTGGTACTTTTATATTTGCCAGTTCAGTTCAGTCTCTCAGTCGTGTCCAACTCTTTGTGACCCCATGAACTGCAGCATGCCAGGCTTCCCTGTCTATCACCAACTCCCAGAGCTTACTCAAACTTATGTCTATCAAGTTGGTGATGCCATCCAACCATCTCACCCTCTGTCGTCCCCTTCTCTTCCCACCTTCACTATTTCCCAGCATCAAGGTCTTTTCCAATGAGTCAGTTCTTCACATCAGGTGGCCAAAATATTGGAGTTTCAGCTTCAGCATCAGTCCTTCCAATTCAGGACTGATCTCCTTTAGGATGGACTGGTTGGATCTCCTTGCAGTCCAGGAGACTCTGAAGAGTCTTCTCCAGCACGACAGGTCAAAAGCATCAATTCTTCGGCACTCAGCTTTCTTTATAGTCCAACTCTCACATCCATACATGACTATTAGAAAAACCATAGCTTTGACTAGATGGACCTTTGTCGACAAACCTGCTTTTTAATATGCTGTGTAGGTTGGTCATAGCTTTTCTTCCACGGAGCTAGCATCTTTTAATTTCATTGCTGCAGTCACCATCTGCAGTAATTTTGGAGCCCAGGAAAATACTCTCACTATTTCCATTGTTTCCTTGTGTATTTGCCATGAAGTGATGGGACCGGATGCCATGATCTTCATTTTCTGAATGTTAAGTTTTAAGTCAACTTTTTCACTCTCTTCTTTACAAGACATCTATTTGTATCTACTCTGTGTATTTTCTTTTCATGTATGCATGTGTGGGACAGGAGAGATTTCAGTCTCCCTAGTATTTAACATTTACCCATGAGGTGTGGGTCAAACTGGATTTTCCCCCAAACCCTTTCTCAGTACTATTTCTTGACTATTCTCACTTGTGTAAATGTTGTCCCTGTATAAAGATCTGTTTGAAGGCCATCTGCTCAGCACACTTTTTTAAAAAATTAGACCCAGAGAGATGATGGCTCCCCAGTTTCTAGTTGCAAACTCATGTTAACTAAAAACAAACTTGAATTTCCACTTGTTACTCTTAATGGTGCCAGCAGAATATTGAGATATCCTAGTAGTCTTGGTTTGTTCAGTCACATTTATATTTAAAATGAGAGTTTTCTACCACTTATATGAGACATGTGTTGTTGTATTATAACACAAGTCATCCATAGGATTTGAAATTTTTATTCTCATTCAATATTTTGAGTTGCTAACATGATTCTGACTCCAGGCTACTTATAGCCTCAGCTTTTGTTTGTATTAATGTAAGTATATTGTCATACTTTCAACTCTTAAAGTTTGATTTTATTTCTACTTTAGGTGTGGCGAATAAACACAAAGCACAATATAATCTATGTCAATGGTTCTGTACCTGGACACAAAAACTGCTTAGTAAAGGTATGTATAACTGTCCTTATTTTCTCTTGTTCAGAGATGTGGATGTGTGCCATAAGTTCTCTTCTTACCCATATGTGACTTGAAAATAAGTAGCTGTTGCCCCACATGTTCTTTGCTAATTTTTCTACTAAATAGTAGCACCTGAGTGAGAAAATTGCATAAAATAACCTATAGGTTATGTCTCTAAAACCATAGACCCACACACAGGGTAGGTCTATTAAGAGGCTCTTTAGAAATACAAAAAGATTATTAGCAAAATTACTTATAAAAAATACCAATATATCTCCGTCCTTCCAAAAACTTTTTCATTTTTTAAGAGTACTTTGACATGGGAACTGGAATTATGTGAGGTGAAAGTTAAATGAAAGTCAACAAAAAAGGTGGTTTAAGGTGGACATTTTGAGAGATTTATTACTATCACTAGCATTGCTCTGTCTTTTCCTTGAAAACGCATTTTTGTGTTCAAACATGAAGAGAAGAAAACATGTCATACAAGATAGACTTGAAAAAAGTTCTTAAGCTCTTAGAGACTTTTTTTTCCATCAAATAAAAACAAAATAAATATTCAACCTGGAATTTAAGTCAACGTAATACAAAATGAGAGATCACTTTTGAATTTTGAATCGGCCATTCTGAAAAATCAACTTGTAGTAGAAGTGTATCTGCAGTTCCCAGAAATAGGCTCTTCATTAATTTTCTAACAAGAACAACAAAATAGGCTGAAACTTAAATCCCAGATTTTTCCAGTCAGGTCAAGTAGGTTGCATTACTAGCATAAGGTACCAGATTTGTTTCAGTCTTACAGTAATTAAAGTTCACTTTCTGGCTTCTCAGGCAGCTCAGATGGTAAAGAATCCACCTGCAATGCAGGCACCTTGTGTTTGATCCCTGGGTTGGAAAGATCCCTGGAGGAGGGCATGGCAACCCTCTCCATTATTCTTGCCTAGAGAATCCCATGGATGGAGGAGCCTGGCAGGCTGCAGTCCATAAGGTCACAAAGAGCTGGGCACGACTAAGTGACTAAAACTTTCACTCTTCTGTAACTCTTCACTTCTTTGAATTCTCATTTTTTTTTTTTTTTAAGGAAAAAAATGCATTTGATTGATTATTGCAAGATTTGGGCGAGTTTTTGCTTTTTGTTTGTTTGGTTGTTGTTGGTGTTTTTTTTTTTTTTTTTTTGGTTTTCAGGTTTTTAGGTTTAAGTGCTTCCAAGCTGCAGGTCACCCAAGTCATACTGGTACTGGAAGCCAGCAGATTGTCATTGTGCTTCTCCTAACATTTTGGCCTCAGAATTTAATGCATTTCTATCTCCAGATTTTAGTACATCATTTTAAATATCACAACCTAATAAAAGAGAAAAAAGGAAAATAATCATTTTTCATAATAAATTTTACTGGATAGCAGATGAAATTTTAAACATTACCAAATCCTCCTTTTCTCTCCATTTGCTGCATACAGTTCTAGGCTAGCTTCCAGCTAAGAGCTGTTCAGGTTTACCTCAGTATTGTCCTTGACACCAACAAGGATGAAAAGGTCAACTACCTTGAAATACCCTATGTGCAGGGTTCAGATCTGGTTGTTATAAACAACTTAGAAGCAACAACACTTACTACTTAGATTTTCCATCCACTTCAACAAAGATTGCCTCCAAAAACTCAATCCACTTAATGACTGGTGGCTTGCTACCTCTAAAGATGTTCAGAAAGTACACTGAAGGCAATTCCAAAAGAGGACTCCAAATACATTTTGAGAAACTGTACCATCAGAGAAATGTCTGGCCACTTTGAAGTGTTAACACATGAGTGAATATATTTCCAACAAACAGATTTTGATAACAGAACTGATCTTGAAAAAAGTCTTTGAAATATAGTATCCTTTAACTGTCTTTTATAACCTTAAATGTCCATCCCAAAAATTAAAGTATGGGTTTAGGGGAGTGTTTTGTGGGCTTGTGCTTTAAAGGTCAAAAGTTTGGTAAATCTTCTGAAAATATCCACCCCACTTTGTCCATTCTTCCCAGTGATTCCATAGCAGGTGAATAAGCCCCTTGTCCTTGGGGGTTGAGGCTCTTCTTGCTGGACTGGCAGCCTCATTAATCCACTCACTCCACTGTAGCTTTTGGCTCCATCAGAATACAGAGTGCTAGGCTGCCAATAACTTTTCTTTTTCATTCTAAAGTTAGCAAGTATCTTAGGGATAATAAAACCTATTTAATTAATGTAAGCTTTTTGTTGTTGGAATTCACTAAATGTATTAAGAGAGCCTAAAGAACAGTTTTTTACAACATAATGTACTTACTATGCATGTGTGCTTGTCCCTATATCCTGATTTATAATGTGAGTTTGTTTTCCTGTTTATTTTTGCCTGTTTCATGTGTGTGTTCTACCTCCAGCTTTCCTAAAAAGGATTTGAACTGGTTTGCCATTATACATAAGTATAAAAGAATGAAAGAGAGAATCCTGAAGGCAGGGAAATAATAAAGCCAGTGGTAAGATTCAGTACACAAAAACACGTACCAGGAACTTTGGCAAAAGATAGTGGAGTAGAGGGACATTGAGTTCACCTTTTATGAGCATACCAAAATCACAGCTAACTGCTGACCAACCATCAGTTTAAAATAAAAAGACTGGAACCTCCCAAAAAAGATACTCTACATCCGATGATATAAAGAAGAAGCCACAATGAGATGGTAGAGAGTGCACTTGTGATATAATCAAATCCTTTACCACCTGGCTACCCACAAACTGGAGAAGGAGTATATCACAGAAGTTCTCCCACAGGAGTGAGTTCTGAACCTAATGTCAGGCCTCCCCTGTCAGGCCTTCAGAAAGAGAAGCTTCCAGAGAGAGCATTTGGCTTTGAAGGCCAGCAGAGCTTAATAGCAGGAGGTCCACAGAACTGGGGGAAGCAGAGACCTTATTCTTGAAGGGAACATGCAAAATCTCATGTGCACCTGGAACCATGGCAAAAGCAGTGATTTCATAGGAGCCTGGGTCAGACCTACCTGGTGGTCTTGGAGGATTTCCTGGAAGTTGTCAGGCAGCTGTGGTTCAACCTGGGGATGTAAAAACCAGTGGCAGATATATTAGGGAATATTCATCATGAAATCTCACTGGAGGCTGATGTCTTGCTTGGGTCTTTAGTACAAAGACCTGGCCCCACCCAACAGCTGTAGGCTCCAATGCTAGGACACGTGGGGGCCAAGCAACCAAGTGGGCAACGACACAGCTGCATCTATCAACAGACAGGCTGCCTAAAGACTTCCTGAGCCCATAGCCACCTTTGGACACACCTCTTAACACAGACCTACCCACCAGAGGGCTAAGAACCAGCTCTACCCATTGGTGAGCAGTCACCAACCCCTCTCCCTCCAAGAAGCCTGCACAAGTTTATAGAGCAGCCCCATCTGGCAGGAGACAGATACCAGAAGCAAGAAAACTAAATCACACAGCCTATGGAACTGAGTCTGCAAACAAATCAGACCACCCACTGGGACCAACTGGTCCCTGAGCCTTCCATGATAAGCTAGAACTGTACTGCTGGTATATACAGGACATTGAATATAGAGGGTCACTTCTCCAAGATTGAGAAACCTAACTAACCTACCACACACATAAAAATGAAAGTAGAAATTTAGACAAATGAGGCAACAGAGGAGTATGTTTCAGATGGAGGAACAAGATAAAACCCCTGAAGAACAACTAAGTGAAGTGAAGTTTAGGCATTGTATTCAAGTAGTTCAAAGTAATGATTGAAAGATGATCCAAGAACTTAGAAAAAGAATGGATATGCAGAGCAAGAAGTTAGAAATTTTTAACAGAGTCAGAAAATAGAAAACAAGCAAGCAGAGATGAATAATGAGGACAGTTGAAGAGACCTTTGGTCTGACATCAGGCACACTAACATTCTTATTATAGGGATCATAGAAGAGAGAAAGGGCATGAGAAAATATTTGAAGAGATAATAGCTGAAAATTTCTATAACCTGGGAAAGGAAACAATCACCCAAGTCCAGGAGGTGAAGAAAGTCTCATATAGGATTAACCCAAAAAGGGGACACATAAGAATCAAATTGACAATAATTAAAGGTAGATAAAATATTAACAGCTACAAGGGAAAAACTATAACATACAAGTGAACTCCCGTAAGACTGTTGGCTGATTTTTGAACAGAAATAGTGCAGGCCAGAAAAGAATGGCATGATATAGTTAAAGTGATGAAAAAATCTACAACCAAGAATAGCCAGCAAGACTCTCATTCAAATTTAATGGAGAACTCAGAAGTTTTACCAACAAGCAAAAGATACAGATTTCATTTCAGCATCAAACCAGCTTTATAGCAAATCCTAAAGGAAGTTCTCTAATCAGGATTGCTGGGAGAATTATCAATAACCACAGATATACAGATGACACCACACTTATAGCAGAAAGTGAAGAACTAAAGAGCCTCTTGATGAAAGTAAAAGAGGAGAGTGAAAAAGTTGGCTTAAAGCTCAACATTCAGAAAGCTAAGATCATAGCATCTGGTCCCATCACTTCATGGCAAATAGATGGGGAACCAAGAGAAACAGTGACAGACTTTATTTTGGGGGCTCCAAAATCACTGCAGATGGTGACTGCAGCCATGAAATTAAAAGACACTTGCTTCTTGGAAGAAAAGCTATGACCAACCTAGACAGCATATTAAAAAGCAGAGACATTACTTTGCCAACAAACGTCTAGTCAAAGCTATGGTTTTTCCAGTAGTCACATATGGATATGAGAGTTGGACCATAAAGAAAGCTGAGTGTCGAAGAATTGATGCTTTTGAACTGTGGTGTTGGAGAAGACTCTTGAGAGTCCCGTGAACTGCAAGGAGATCCAACCAGTCCATCCTAAAGAAAATCAGTCCTGAATATTCATTGGAAGGACTACTGATATTGAAGCTGAAACTCCAATACTTTGACCACCTGATGCGAAAAGACCCTGATGCTGGGAAAGATTGAAGACAGCAGGGGAAGGG